CCCTCCAGTGATGGGTTCCAAAGCTGCGCTGGTTTGCCAAACTGACCCGGAAGAAGGAATGGAGGATCTTGAGAAGCCAATCGCCCAGCCACCATGGCCAAACGATGAGAGAGGAGAGAGCTCCTCTCATAATAATTTTTTTTTCTTTAACGGTACACTAGCTAGATCATTGAATTTGTGGTTTCCTACTTTTCTTCAATGTTTGATAGTTTTATTCATCCTTCGTACGTGATGGGAGAATTGGAAACAACTCATTATACGAGGAGTTAAAATTGTCAAGAACCAGTTGCTCCCAATAACTCGAGTTATTGGGAGAGGTTCAATCGTGGATCATATACCACAACACTAACACGCCCCCTCAAACGAAAGCCACTCACAAGGGCTTGAAGTTTGCACAGGTCTGAAGACAAGAATACCAAGTGCTTAACAAATGGGGGTCACCGAGAATCGAACACAAGACCTCTCGGTCACAGCAGGTTCTGATACCATGTCAAGAACCAGTTGATCCCAATAACTCGAGTTGTTGAGGTTCAATCGTGGATCATATACCACAACACTAACCGAAATGATTTAAGTCCAATTCATTGAATTTGTGCTAATGCACTTCAAAAAACAATATCCAGAGCATCACCATTCAATGTTTTTTTGACTAATTAGTAATTGCCTAATCAAGTTAATAATAAACGACATGGCAGCAGAATTTGTACTAATGACATTGTTTGAGGCAAGGACAGATACAGTTGAGGAAAGATATTTTAGTGGACAAGACTTGTTAAATACATGTCGACTCCACGTTTGATTAATAGGAAAGGATATGGCCATATTGGTGGGTCCAAAACCTCTGTGCAAAGGAGGCATGGTGATGATGGTACGATGCTTCTTCTCTGATTTGTCTAATTAACTTGTGGTAGGGCTAATCCGAACGTTACAAGGATTATTAGTAGGTCCAGCCGACATCATTTCCAATGAACTGCCACATAAGTAGGGGTGGGAAACAGTCCGGTCCGGTTTAACCGGACCGGATTAACCCGGTTTTTCTATAACCGTTTTGGCCAATACCACAACCGGAGACGGGATTGGATGACACCCGGTTTTAACCAAGACCGGATCAATCCGGTCCGGTTTCAACCCAAACAACTGGATGTGACTATTTCCTCCTAGACGACAGCGTTTCAACCAAAATGACAAACATAAAAAAGGATCACACATCTGCTTCAACCCTAAACCAAGCGCCGCCCTCTCTCTTTTTCTTTGATTTCTCGTCCTCTCCGCCACAAGAATGCCCAGGAGAAAATTTCTGCTTATCTACTCCCCCACTCTCATCGTCTTCTTGCTTCATCCATCATCCTTCCGCTGCCGACGAAAGTCACTTCCCTCTTTCCCACCGACGCATCTTCCTCACTCGAAGAGCTCTCTCAGGGAGAAGAGCCTCGGATCCACCCAACACCTTGTTGCATGTCGCCGGAAATGGCGAAAAGAGCCAAGATCCAAGTCGAAGCCGCGGCAGCCGAACTCGCCCTTACTCGACTGATGAACGCCGAGAAAATGAAAGAAAGATCAACGAGGCAGGCGCGGCGGCAGTTGTCTGATCAACTTCTTCTTCATCTCTGTTGTCTGTGTGTACTGTGAGGGTGGGTTGGATCTAGGGGTCCAGGTTGGGGCTTAAAATCGTGTAAGCTTGAGGTTGAAAAAAGAGAGAATAGAGAGAAGGGGTGAGGAGAGATTGGAGAACAGAGAGGTAGGGTTGAGAGATTGGGGAGGAGTTTAATTTTGGAGATTGAAACTGTTGCTGGGAGTGGGATTGGGAAGAAAACAGAGGTAGGGACGAAATTTTGGGAATTAAAATTAGGGTTGGGTGGTGTCGTATGGGCTTTGGTGGGAGTGAGGAGATTGTGGACTGGGCTGTATTTTGTGTTATCCGGTTTTCCGGTTTTAACCGAATTGGACCGGGCCGGTTTTTTGCCTATGCATCACAACCGCAAATTGGATTGGGGTGTTTGGAATCCGGTTTCCTATTGAAACCGGAACGGTTTAAACTGCCCGGTTTTCGGTTTGACCGGAAAACCGAGACCGAATTCCCAGCCCTACACATAAGCATAATTATGCATGGTGAATTCTCAATAGTACTGTGCTATAATAATCATGTACATATGTGCAAATTGCAATGTACCATGCCTGCTTCCTGAACTGCTCTTCGGACTACAAGGTACATTTACATTGTTTAAGAAGGGATGTGGTGGATGGGTCCATTGCCATCTTGTTCATCTTACCATCTTGTTTGCGCAGAAAAAATGAGTTCATCGTTATTTATTGGATCTATAAATTTATGTGGAAAAAATTTCAGGACCATATATACCTTACATCACCCTGGTATAGGGTGGTAACTGGCCTAGTCAATGATGAAATGTAGTAAATTACAGTTAGTATATGCATACTATCATGTATACGTTCATTTTATACTGTGATATATTTATACCATCATAGTACACTTACATACCACATGACATAATCTTATCTTATTTACATACCAAATGGTATCACATGGTATGGACTAGTAATAAAAGTCACAATTTTTTTCTTCCAAAATATATCTAAATAATTTCGTTTTGTAGAGCACCATTTATATGATTTTTCTTTGCAAGTGATTTTTGAATTTCAACTTAAAACGAAAAATATATAGCCCGATACATTTATTGAATAAAATTAGTAGTATTTTATAAATTATAAGTATAGGTTAAGCATGATTATACACCTAAGTTATTCGCTGTATCCACTCTCATCTATTAACAAAAAAAAATTGGATTAATCTATTTGGTCTGAAATTTTTTGAAATTAAGTAACCTTCTTGAGACAATTCTGATTGTCTGAAAATTCTTTAAAATTATAAGTTTATTATTATTTAAGATATTCTACCCAACTACCTAACGCTTTTGGGTCCTGTCCTGTGAGAACTGGAAGCCTCGAGCCCAATCACCATCCCCATTAAACCTAGGTAGACGCAACAGTACTACCCTTTTCCCTATTGGATCCAACTATATAGGGCTAAATTACAAGTTTGGTCACTCAAATTACATAAATCTTTCACGTTTGCCACCCAAATTAATTTTCTTTCATATTAGCCACTCACTTTACGATTAGTTTCACCGTTAGTCACCACCGTTAGTCTCCGTCAGACTCCGTTAACACCGTTAGTTTTTTTATGACTTGGCAAACGGAATTGCTGACTGGACTGTTAAATTAATGACATGTCAATTTAAAAAAAATTAAAAAAATAAGTAATTAGAGGAAAGCGTCCACCTTCCCCTCCCTCGTCTTCTTCTTCTTCCTCTTCCTCATCATCACGCCAAACAATATAGGAGTAGCTCCTCCTCCATATCAAACAAATCCTCCATATCAAACAAAGCATAGCTGCGGCAGCACCAACTTTGTTGGACCTTCTTTTCCATTTCCTCCGATCTGCCATCTCTTCCTCCATTTTCTATAAGGGATCTTTTCCCCAAATTCAACCCCTGCAATAAAAAGAGCAATCTAGGGAAGACTTGAGCTCGGGGGTGGAGATCTCTAACTCAAATAACCAGAAATTCTCTTATTCCCAGTTCCCGGGAGGGAATCGAATGTCCAGACCTTGGATTCCTTGCCGCCGCACACGCCCAAATGGTTCACACCCCAAACGGATCTTCGGTCCTAATCTCGCAGGAGGCTAGCCGGAGCGAGGTAAGTGACCTCTCCATTGTCGACAAGGTCGAGCGGTCGAGGCAGGAGCCGGTGAGATCCAAGTCTGTGAGCAGGGGTAGGAAGATGAGGCCAGGGACGAAAGAGGCGGCGGCGGACTTGCGTTTGCGGTGGTGGTAGGGCAGAGAGAGGCGGAAGCACTAGGCCCGATGGGTCACGCCGTAGTTTAGTAACCCAAGGTCTTTGGGCTTCAACGCCCAGGAGAAATTGAAGTTGAAGTAGTCGACGACGTTGTCTTTCTAGGTGGAGCGGAGTCTCTCCCAACCTTCGATTTCTCAAAGGGAACCTCCATTCCGGGATTAGTTGCTCATCGGTGGTTCGACGTGACGATGGGGAAGAGGAAGAAGACGAGGGAGGGGAAGGTGGGCCCTCTACTCTAATTAATTTTTTTTTAAATTGACATGTCATTAATTTAACAGTCCAACCAGTAATTCTGTTTGCCAAGTCGTCAAAAAACTAACGGTGTTAACGGAGTCTGACGGAACTAACGGCAGGTGACTAACGGTGAAACGAATCGTAAAGTTAGTGGCTAATATGAAAGAAAAGTAATTCAGGTGGCAAACGTGAAAGATTTATGTAATTTGAGTGACCAAACTTGTAATTTAGCCAACTATATAGTCCTCATTAGTCTTTCTCACTATTTCATCCAAAAAAGCAGATATTTTTGTATGACAGTCACTTTTAGGCTCTGAACTTTGATTTTTTTCCTTATCAAACATGGGTCTTCATTAAATTTAACTTTCACCTAGGTAGAAATTTAACTTATATTATAAATTTATACATAAACGCGTCTTGAAAAAATAACTCGTCATCTAACTAATCCTACCGGATGACAATTATATCGCGATTCTCAATATCTTATATGCATTGTTTGGGGTATAAGGTGAGTGTAGAGAATTAAAATAATAATGGATTTAGTTCACATAAATGAAAATGAGAATGAACGTCTAATAGAATAGAGATAACTTCAGTACAATTCGAATGATGAATGCGAAAGATTCATTGCACTCGATAGATAATACAAGAAATTCATGTGTTACAGACTTCCTTCAAACGTGATTCGTTCCACTCTAAGGCTCGTAATAAGTATAATGTGGTTGCCCATATTATGACACAAAACTAACAATTTTATCGTTGGCTTAGGATAATTATCATTCAATATTTTTTCTTCATTTTGTGACCTTATTACCCAAAAAAATATTCTATATTTCTTGTATCTATATAGCTTCATTTTCTAAATTATACGTGTTGAATACATATATCAATTGTATAATAATACGCTAATAATTGGCCGAAATGGAACCTTCACCATCCGGCCCTATAAATTGGCAGCCTTCCATTCTCCCATCTTCACCATTACAAGTTTACAACCAATCCCAATTCCCAACACAACCTTATCACAATTCACACACTCAAAAATCTATTTAACCCCACCGCCCAAAAAAACCAGCCAATCGCCCAATCCAATGGCAGCTTCTTCATCCTGCTCATCCGCCGCATTTCTCGCCGCCCTAGCAGTCATCTCACTGCTCGCCTCCACGTCATCCGCCTCCAGCAGAAGATCCCTCTCCCCCTCCTCCGCCGCCGCCGCCGCCGCCGCAACCACCAACACCGAGTTCATCCGTACGTCCTGCAGCGCCACCACGTACCCGAAGCTCTGCTACAACTCCCTCGCCGTCCACGCCACCAAGATCCAGACCAGCGCCAAGCTCCTCGCCACCACCGCCCTCGACGTCACCCTGGCGTCAGCGAAGTCCACCTCCGCCGCCATGCTCAAGCTCTCCCGGACCCACGGCCTCGCCCCCCGCCAGTCCGCCGCGATGCTCGACTGCGTCGAGGAGCTCGGCGACTCCGTCGACCAGATCCGCCAGTCCATCGACGAGCTTGCCGGCGCCCGCACGTCCCCCGCCGAGTTCCAGATGATGATCAGCGACGTCCAGACGTGGGTCAGCGCCGCGTTGACCGACGAGACCACGTGCAGCGACGGGTTCGCCGGGAAGGAGATGGCCGGAGAGGTGAAGACGGCGGTGAGAGGGAGGATTGAGAAGATTGCTCACCTCACTAGCAACGCCTTGGCTCTCATCAACGCCTATGCTGCTCTTCATAATTAATTAGACCGCAGTAAAAAAAAACTAAAACGACGTCGGTCCGGCCGCCTCCGGTGGTAGTTGGTAATTTTAGCTGCTACGTGTTGTGAGGGGTATTATGGTAAGAGTGTATATAGGAAGTTGGTTGGTTTGGTTCACTTGGGTTGAATATAATGAGCGGTAGTTGTGTGGCGGTTGGCTTGGCTTTTAGCTATTAGGGTAAGTTGAGTTGAAGTTACTATGTTGTAAACTGTGAAGTAGTAGTTTCAAGTGTGTGAGTTTTCTGTACTCAAGTCTCACCCATGTAACGCACAAGAAGTTGTAGTCACTATATATGGAAGAGAAACATGTGTGTTATCCAAATTTGGCCCGTGATTGATGACCGTTCGGTCAATCTCGTTATCTGTTTTTGGGCGTTATCGCTCTAATTTAACTACAAACTATGAGATACATGTTAGTTTGCTACAAGACTTAATAACATCGTTTGAACGTAGTTGTGCCATCTCAAGCCATGTACATATTATGTCCACAGTCCACACCCCTAATCAAAATCAATATCTTTCCCATTTCAGTATGTTACACATGATTTCGACTAATGAAAAAAAATATAACTAACCCATCTCCATAAGCGACCATACGGAATTTAAATGACGGGTAGTAACCATGTTATTGGAGAACAAGGTTACAACACAAACACCATGCCACGCTTATAGTTTGGAAACCAATGGACGATGACCCGCTTTGTATTGAACATTGCATTTTTCTCCATACAAAAAAATGGCCCAGAAGCAGCACGTTGTGCGGGGACAATTGTGTCACATGCTATGTCTGTCGCAACCCGTGATCTCTCGAAGGTCAAAATCCAAATCCAAATCAAAATCCCCATTCACATGCCCTAGGAAGAAGAAGAAGAAGAATCTCTTGTGACTAATAGAAACGAGAAAGCTTTGGTTTCTTTCTCTTGTGGCCTACTTTCATTGCTATTATGATTAGGTGAAGAAAGAAAACAAATTCTCCTCGACAAAGTGGGAGGGATTAATTAGCCCGTGACCATGTTAAGAAAAACAACATAATAACCTACTTTCCCCAGGTCGTAATCCTGCAATTATACTACTAATCAAATGGGTACACGTCCAATTTAGCAACTAAACTAATCTGCTACCAGCTCCAGCATAACGCTCTTGTCTTGTACGAAGGCTAATTCATAATTATAATTGTCATCTACTAATGTTTCTCAGCCTGCGGAAAGCCGGAAACTAGTCCGCATCATTAATGATAGGGAAAAGAAAAATGGGCCCGGGTAATCACGTGTATACGGCCCACCCGCTAGGCTGTACTAACGAGCGAGCTACAGGCCCACTTACTCCCTCCCACGAAAAGCCACCTTATGAAAAGGAAAGCGGGGGCAGGTTTCAGCAGCTGCTTTTCGGTTCTTTATATCGTCCCTACCATTTTACGACCAAGCTGCATTACTATGGCGGAAATCATAATTCTCATCAATGGTAGTAAATTTAAGCAAAGGAAACAGAATAAAGCAAATCCAACCACCTCCTTCTCCCCCTTTCTGCATTCTACAGTGGCTATACAACGAGGACTGGAAATCTGTCGCTCGAGTAAGTTCAGTGTGAGTTCTCTATATTGGCTGTAAACTGAAAACAGTATTTGGGAGGGTTACAGGGACACACCTGTCAAGAGGATTTCTTGGGCGGAGACATATTACCGATTAGAGAAATCGTCGTGACAACCGCGAATATCTGGACCAGCAATCCTGTAGGGGGGGAAACAGAAAGAAGTGAGACTTCTCGATGCTGATTGTGAAATGACGAGCTGAAAAGACAAATGTAACTCACCAGATAACAGCAGCGAATTCTCGATAACCTCGAACTTCTTCGCCTCCCACTCACTTGGGTTCAGCATAACCTGCTCATGAAAGTCGCCCCGATTAGACCAGTTCCAATAGCAAGAAGCATTTCGTGTGATCCAATGTTATACTACGGCTCCGTTTAGTTCAACTAGTGCTTTCAATTGATACTATCAACAAAATTTCTCCAATCAGATTCGAATGGGATGTGACCCCAATTTACTTTATCTTCTCTACATTTGCAGTCAAACCGATTTCCCTTCTATATATCTCCACAAGATTGTAATAACTTAACCTTATATGTCCTAGAAAGTCGACAAATTATGGAAGGTCCTTGATCATTTCACAGTAGTTTAGCCATTGAGTCCTTCGTTCAAACACGCACACGATTACAGTTCTGTTGTTTGTTAATGTTGATCATTGTCCAATATTACAATTTGAATCAAGCAAGGACCATTTCTCAAATAAGACTCCAACCCGTTCAAACAGGAAAAGGCGAAGAATCAAGTAGGACCAATTGTTTCACATTTTCTTCCCCTTTATAACACTGCACTAAGATACCAGGTTACGCGCCCCTAAACAAACTGTCTAATGGTTGATCACTTTACTAGCAAACACACTTGATCCAGGGTTCAATTCACTACTTCTAATCCGCCCCTTCCCCATACTTATATCCGAATACAAGCAAGTTTCATGAAAGTGAAGTAGCCTTACCTCTAACGCCGAACCACTGCTAAATTTATCAAATAGCGAGATTAGCAGTCCGATGGAAGATGCAGCCATGTACATTCTCAACAAACCAGCTTTGCTCCGCCTAAGACCTTCAAAATATCCACCCAGAATGCATTAATAAGTTCAGCAAATAAATTTCAACAGAACTCAAAAACCCAATCTGGAAGGAAGAGAAGAGCATCATTTTCACCATACCTACTTCTCCAATCAGAAGAGAGAAGAACCCAATGGCAGTGGCTGCAATAGCCAAAGAATCTGGAACCTTCTCCTTCGATATCGACATGGCTAAAGACAGTAGTCCTACCAACTGAATCACCACCTGCATCATCCATCCCAAGTCAAATATGAAATAGCAAAGTTGCGACAGCTGATCTACACTGGAATTGATTTTAATCAGGAAGAGACCCAACTTGACATTGCTTAACCAGAAAGCTTAGAACGTTCTACTCAACGCCAGCAATTAGGTCAATAATGTCAATAACCCTAATTCTACACTCCACGATGACGTTCCAATTCACTCTACTGCCTTGGAAAACATGGAATTCCACTTTGTAAGTAACCAACATCAAGAGCGAACAAGCAAAATTCCCAGAGGAGAGACTAATTCGACTGAAGCGCGAATGTGAAAATGGATGAACTAACGCACCTGAGTCAAGATCAGGGCATGGAGGCGAGACTTCCCCTTTGCCACTTTCGTATAGCCTGGAAATTCAGTACAAAAATCGGTCACAACTTATGGCGCAGCCCGTCGGACCCGCAAAGATTTGGCGCCGAACAAAGAAACAGCTATCGAAGGAATGGAAAAGGAGCCGAGACTCGATTAAAATGGGAATAGGCAGGGAGAAAAAGGAATTACGAGAATCGACGACCATGCGGTAGGAGAAATCGGAGCCGTCGGTTCCCGACGGCCGCCCATATTTCCTCTGTTGCATCTTTTCTTCTTCTTCTTCGTCGTCTCGCCAGTCGCCTCTGCACTTCCAGCCGCCGCCGGTAAGGTCGTGATTCCGGGACCGGGGGGTTTATATGAAACCGGCCCTTCTAATTGGGATGCTGCCGAACTTTCAATTTGATCCCTTCACTTCTTTTTCCTTCCATTTTACCCCTCCCCTGCTATAAGTATCAACTAAACCCTTTTTTCCGCAGGGTTAAGGTTAATTAACTCACCCAGCCTCTGTTTCTGTCTCGCCGCCGATCATCAGCGATCAGGTCTGTTACTTTCTCCTCCTTTTGCTTTCTCAGCGCCGGACATTATGTTCGATTGGCTTTTGCTCCGATGGACTGTGATTTCTTGACCCAATTGATCTTCTTCTCTTCTTCTTTGGCTGTTGCTGGTTTCTGTTTAGGATTGTTTCAGCAGCATATCGTTGATGTTAGTAGTGTCTCCATTCCGTAAGTATGGAGATCTCTCCGCCTTGCGCAGACAACCGCCCGCGAGAGGTGACTTTCTTTTCCTCAAATTTCTTCGTAATCCTTCTTGTTATGGTTTTCTCTCATTCATCTTTTGTGGGTCTTGAAATTTTTTTCCTCCCCTGCAATTCTAGTCCGAAGGACCGTCACCGTCACCGATGAAATACTGGGAATCATCGCCCAGGAGAAAGAAGGAGGGGTTGCTGATGCTGGGTATTTGCAATTTTCGCCGTTGCTTTACTTTGATGAGTGCATTTGGAGGTTACTGTATTTTTGGTTGTAGTGATCTTTCTAGGTCTAAACGCCATGACCCATTTATCTCTTCACTCAATTCATCGGCAGCAGGAAAATAACAGAGATGAGTTCCCGACGACGACGGGTCCGGCAGCCCACAAGCAACAACGTCATGTGCGAGTGTGGACGACCTGCGGTCGTGAGAAAATCGCTCTCAGCCTCAAATCCTGATAGGAAGTTCTTCTGTTGTGCTAAACGGGGCTCGAGAAAGGTAAGGGTTTGTTCAGTCTTTGAATGTCCATCTGTTCATAGTTTTCCAGCTTCCTCAGTTGCTGTGGAGTTATTGTGTGAGGTCTTTCTTGTTTTTTCATGTGTTTGCTTTTGTTACTGTTGAAGGAGGAGGAGGAGAAAGGCTGCGATCTATTTGAATGGAAGGATGTGCGAATGGCAACTGAAAAGGAGAAACAGAGGGCGGATGCTGTGGTGGCTAGTTTGAAGATGGAGAATGTGCGTTTGAAAGCAGAGAACTGTGCACTGAAGGAGGATAACAACGAGCTTCGGGAATCAGTTGCTCAACTGTTGCAGGGAAGCGGCGGATCGGGAAACTGCAAATGCCATGAGCAGCATTGTTGCTGCAGCGCTGCCAAAGTTGAATGGGATGGAGTAGAAGCGAGGCTGACTCTGCTTGAATCAATTCTGCTAGCCAAGGACTGATGTTACGAAAACGCTAGCCATTGACTTATCGCTGTTATCTATCCATGATCTATGAATGTCTTTCTCCAAGTTGGCTCAGTTTTTTTTTTTTTTTGGTGATTGAATCAAATTAAACCTTTTGCTTGTTTCTTAGGGAATTCAACCCAGGCAACACGCAAGTTTCATGTTTAGATGTGTAAGTTGGGGAATGGATCAGGTCAGTAACCTTATGGTGAGTAATTATGAGTAACCTGCCCACATCAGCACGACATCAGCATTCTCTTTCTCCTGGAAAGCATTTAATTTTCCCCTCCTTAATCTTTGACGGACGATTTCTCACTCGTTTTAAGTCGAAATTTAATTTTTTTTGCACAGTTAGATCAGATTAATTGTGCTCTTCAAAATGATATCCACTTTGATATATTTTTCGAACAAAAAAAATTGATCCATTTTTCACCAGTCTATACCATATGGTATTGACTGGTATTGAAATAAGAGCATACCTATGGTTTGAAAAGCGTACCATGGTGGTATGACACAAACCAAAACTGTAGGATGGTTGAATACATGATAGTAAAAGTATATTAATGGTCATTTACGATTTTTAACATTGTATACCATAAGATACCATACGATATCACCCCATACCAGGGTGGTATTGTATGGTATTGTGTGGTATTTTTTTGTCTTGTAATTTGTTCACCCAGAAATTTGTAGATCCAATAGATCATGATGAACTCGTCTCTGCTGTGCAAACGTTTTCAAAAATGAATTAAAAACGAAGAAGATACCATATGGTATGCAGTTGGTACCGAGAGGCCAGAATTTTTTTTTCCTCAAAAAATATTGAAAATTGATCTCATTTTGTAGAGCACGATGAACTCGTTCCATCTGTGCAAAAAAAAAAAATCCGAGTTAAAACGAAAAAGATATGAGTCAATTAAGAAAGCTAGTGAAAATAAAAATGACCTTTAATTCTCCATCCTTAGATCTGGATTTTCTAAATGAAGGGTCCAGATTTGGTTATTGATGGATGCATAACCCATGGTTATGCACCCTAACTTGAGCGTGTAAGTTGGGCGCTATGGTGATCGTTCGATTAGTGTACTTAGTAGTTGAATCGAAACAATTCTCAATTTGATCAAATAGTAAACTTTAAGTTAGTACTATTATGATGAAAGCATAGATCCTGGTACTCGAGATTATCGTGACAAGACGTGATTGGGAACATAAATAGGGAGAAATTCTCGCCACCAGCTGCCTAGAAACTGTCGCCGACCAACAACACCAAACAACATTCTGCTCATTTTTCAGCGACAAGCGTTCTCAGGAAAGCCTTAAGAGAAGCGACTTCCTTCTCCTTAGTGTTCACCACTTCCGGGGAATTAGTTAGCACTAGCTAGATAATGATCTCTTCCATTGACATAAATAATGCGAGTCAGTCAACCTCAACAAATAAAGTGCACGAAAATGGAGAACACTCGAAATATACTGATGGTTTGATCCTCATCCGCTCGTTAATGAATGAATAAAACATCTTTGATTTATCCTTTGTGAAACACTACAACGATTCTCCGGCATATAAACGACTTTTTGGTCAAAATCTAAACCCAACTGGCCAACAGATTCCCATTAACCAAGCTGAAAGCTTTAAGCAAAACATAAGTGCAACCATTGGAACCGACCTCCAAACTTAGCAGCAAAGCAAATCAACCTGACGAATTTACATTCGAACACCCACATTTAGGTGTTTTGGTGAACCGATAGTACTAATTACACCAGGCTACCAGTAAACAAGAACCAAAACTTGCAGACTGGGCCGAGTTACTTGCCATCCATGGCTAAACAATTTACCGTGGCTAAAACAAATCAGTCGACCACAGGTTCGAACAAAAATCACACATTCGCCCTTCCCTTCACGAAGGCCAACACTCCAACGAACGGGGCATTGATGTAAGTAGTCGGCTCCGACTGCGAAACAACGAGCCGACTGTCCTGAAACCTGTCATTCACATCAGGTCCTCCGACCACCGCCCCGATCAGCACGTTCGGGTTCGAAGTCACGTTCCTGAAGAACCCGTACCCTTCCGAACACCCGATTCTCTCCGGATGCTTCCTGATGTCGGGCAGGACGGATCCCCTGTGGTGAATCCTCTGCGGGTACTTCGATCCGTACCCGACCATGTACGACATCCCCAGCGGATTGCTCCCCAGGATGTAATCCACCTGCCCTTCCACGAATCGGTCCAGCCTCGACGGTGCGATGTTCACGTCCCCACATTGGACGACTCTGTTTTGCGCCCTCAGGACGCGGGTGTACGCTGCGAGGAGGAAGCAGAGAGCTGTTGGGTTCTGCATGTTGCTGGATGCTCCCTCCGCGTAGAGAAGCCCGCCTGGAGTGAAGGTGTAGGTTTTGAACGGCGATTCGGGCATGATTGCGCAGACGAGGTTGTCGGCATTGGCTGCGTAGGCATAGTCCAGCTGCACATAGTTGGTCAATTCTCAGAAAGAATTCATCAGGAGAACACCAATTGATCAGAATTTGGAGTTCAGGGAAGAAGAAAAAAATCACAGAGGCTAGCAGAACGTAGACTCCAGCGAATTTGGAGTCCCAATTGAACGCAGTCAAGCTCGTCCCTAAGTTTGATTTGACGTAGTAAGCATATTTGTTATCCCCTGTTGCTTTAAACAACCATGCCGCTCCCCACGCCAATTCATCCTGCAAAAACAGAGCACAAGCATCTCATTTCCTGACACTGTCAGGATTCCTGATTCCTGAAGAATCTGGTTCAGTTTTTTTTATACCATGTAGCCATTTGAGCTGCAATAGAAGGGGCAGGCACCAGCTCCCACGCTCTGAGCATACGACCCACGATGCTTGTCGCCGAACTCGAATACCTGACCACAAGGACAAATCCCCGGTCATCATCGACCGAAGTAGTCCGAAATTCGCTAGAAAAAGGAGAAAATCAATCCACATTCCCACCAACTTGCCTGAATCGCCCTGTTGAGGAGCAATTTGGTGTAGCTAGGGCTGATCTTCCTGAAGGCGAGTGCGCCGACGGCCAGGGCCGCCGCGATTTCCCCTGCCACCTCGGAGCCAGGGTGCGACGCATTGAGCAGGTAGCTGTTCCTGGGAGTGTCCATATCCTCCGGCCTCTCCCAGCAATCGTGGTCGAGGACCGGGTCGGCGACCTGAGCGACGATCCTGTCAGGAACGCTCGTGGCCTTCAGGAAGTAGTCGGTGCCCCACCGGAGGGCGTCGAGGGAGTGCCTCAGGTCGGGATAGCCCATCTTGTTGCCGAATTCCAGCACGCTCCATCCGATCATCGTCGTCGTCCACGCCATCGGCAGGTGGAACTTCACGTTGTCCCCTGCATCGTAGTATCCTCCCACCAAATCCATCTGACAAAAAAAAAAAAAGGAAAGGAATTTCAGTTTTTTTCCCCCCGAATTGTGGAAGTAATTATAAAAAAGGAAAAATTTTGGCTTTACCCCGATGTCGGAACCGTCTTTGAGGGCAGAGTCGCGCCGCCAGGTGAGCCTCTGGGTTGGGGGCAGCTTGCCGGAGCGTTGGCCTTCGAAGAACATGATGCACTTGGTCAATGCGTCGCCGTAGTCATGTGAAACAGAAGGGTGGCGGGCGGCGGCGGCGGCGGTTGGTATTCCGGCAGCGAGGGCGGAAGCGAGGAGGAATATTAGGAAACGACCGGTGGACTTGTGACTCATTGTTTACTTTCTCCCCCCAACTCTTTAGACTGCGGTTACTACTAATTGTTAAGACTTAAAGAGTATGGGAGAATAATTCGGGGTTTATATAATGACCGAGTGATTGTATATATAGTTGGGAAAGGGGGAATTGTAATTAAGGGGTTAATTAATTGGGTCGAATGAGGAAAGGGGTGGGAGGAATTCCCATGTTTAGTGGTGGGAATTAAGAACCTATGGCAATTATTGACTGTCCCTAATGTAGTAGGGGGAATCCCATTTCATTTTCTCACCTCGATTGGAGATTTCTTTCTGTTGTAATCCGCGTATTTGGGGAATGAATTCACATTTCGTAGGTTAATGGTGAGGATTAGTCCTTTCAATGGGCTTCACCATGGACTTGATTTACCGTTGTACTGATAATGTTAATGTTAGATCGTCCGTCTTATTTACGAGTAGGTCATCGACATGCTTCTAATGAGTCCGTGAGATCAAACAGTATTTGTATGCTTGCACCGACGCCTAACCTGATTTCGGCTCAGTAACTGGATTACAGAAACCCCACCCGATCGATGCACGCGGTGGTCCTTTAGTGTAGAGATAGACACCGGCAAAGACTGACATCGTCGGATTGTGCGTCCCGTAATCTCACTGATTTGGATATACCTGACGGTGTTGTTTGCAAAAACCAGCACAATGTACGCGATTGAGATTGGCGAGGATGTAGAAACCCTGGTAGATGGATGGAAGTGGATACCCTAGTCTGTTGTAGGGATAGACATATAAGTAGGCTCAAACTTAATGGATCATCTCAAGATAGAACACCTAGCTAGGCTAGCTAGTTCCTTCCTGCATTGTACAACTCTGGACCTAAAAATGGGCAGTTGCTTGCCTGGTCTGGGATAATGGTATGCGGTTTTGGAGCTTCCCTATCAACAATTGTGTATTGTCTTTATGACGATCGTGAGGCAGGTTCTGGAGGTAACAAAGAATGAGAAGGTAAACTTGGATGTCTGCTTCTTCTCAATGCATTTACCCGTCAACCTTTAATGCCCTTTTTCCAACCTTAGGGACTTGCTTTTCGAACAAGCAAATTTGGGGGGCTTCTAGGATCAACATAACTCCCCGTCATAAAAGGAAAATGGTGATCCGTGGGGTGGTCTTTTCTTTTCCTTTTTGAGATTTTCAATGGCTTTAACTGACCATCATAGTCTTATGGATGAGGATTTGGTTACGAAGTTTATGGGGTTTGGTATATAAAAAAAAAGAGTCTTTACATCGATTGAATCGTACACATCTGATTGTTTTGAATGACAACATTCACAATCTAACCAATTAAAGACTTTCTTAACTCGATTCGATAAGGATACTAGCCGAATTGGACATATGAGTGGTCTGAAATGCTAGCGAGTTTTTTATGATCTCTTCGTTATAGTATATTGTTCGACCAATAAGGATGTGTTGGCCGCCAAATGTGGTACATTATGATCTCTTTCGATCATGTATTCTTGATGATTTTATGCACATTGATTTCATTGAGTTAATTTTATGCTTACAAGTTAACTGTATGTTCGCAACGTATCGGAAGTGTTTGCTTATATCAAGTAGTTTGAGGAACCTAGTTCAGGCTTATTTTTTTGCTTATATCAAGTGGATTGATGCATAAATGCTTCACTCATCTTTTCATTTCCCAAAATAATTTCAATATTTTTATGTACAGACATCCTCCCTAATCCTCTTCCACAATGAAGAATGGCAACCAAGAGAAAGGGAAAGAGAGGGGTAAAATTCATTAAAAAAAACTAAAATATAAATGTGAGAAAAAAAATTGCATTTTTACTCACATAACATAGCATCTGTGCACTCTCTCCTTTGTATATTCTTTGTAGAGCCTGACGATGCGTTGGTTTTTTTTTTTCCATAGATAGAGGACTAATAGTCTAATAGATAGGGAATTACAAATAATTAAAAAAAATTAACGGAAATCAGCCAAATGTTGATTAGCCGATGCAAGAGCCGTTTTCGCCACGCATTTGGCAGCCCTGTTAGTTCTACGAGGATAAAAAACAAAACGAAATGACGCGAATGATGCTTGTCATGTGATGTTTTTACTCATAAGTCATAAGACAAGAAAAAGGTTGGTAAAGAAAAGTCTATTAGTTAGGCTGGGCCGCGTGAATATTTAGATGGGCTCATCGCTAATAGTATCGTATTGTAGTTTATACTTGGGCTAATACCACTAGGAAATCCGAACTATTAACTTTGTGTCATTTGTGTTCTAAAGTATTCGATATGATATTTGTGTCCTAAACTATTTTTCCGTTAAGAGTTTACTGGCGTTGACCGTTAATTTTTAACAGAAAGTCTAGTTGGCACTAATGTGGCATATGACGTGAAATTTTTATTATTAATTATTTATTTAATTTTCTTTATTGCATAAAAAATAATTAAAATGAAAACAAAAAATGTCTCCAACCACTTTTCGCTATCCATCGAGACTTCTTTCTTTCTTCCTACTTCCTTCCCCCTTTTCCTTTCTCCTTCTTCTTCTTGCATCCGTCGACGATTTTCGCGTCATCAATTGCCGGCCGACTCCCGCGGCCATCAAGCTCCCTTCTTCACCCCCTTCCATCCTCATCCAACGACATCAACAACAACTCAGATGCCCACCTTCCCCAGCGAACGCGCCACCCCACCGGAGCGCCGGGTCGGAGTGGCGAACCACCTCCCATCCGAGCAAAACCCAACCCAAACAGGCTGTCGTCGTGCCGTGGCGGTTCGAGCTCGACGAGGGCTCCCTCTACCTCCAGCTCCACGACGGCATCTCGCCGGGAATAGAGGTCTGGTAAATTGGCTGCCTGATGCCTGAAATCGACTCGAAACATCATGAGGAGATTTCCCATATTTACAATTAGGCTGCTCGGAAATCGGTGGAGAGTGTTCTTCAATACATAGGCTTCTCGGAATCGAAACTCGAATCCAGATCTACAATTAGGCAGGCGAGAGTGAGGGAGGTAGGAGAGGAAGGCAATCGATTGTTGCTCAGGTTCGGAGAAAGTTAAGGGGATCCCTTCTCTTTTAGGCAGGCAAGAGCGAGGGAGGTAGAGAGAGCAGCAACACAAATTCCCTGCAAACTCCCTAAATCGGCGGCGCCTATGTCGCTACCTAGTACGCTCCTCGCCGTCGAAGAGAAGCAAATCGTGAGAGAAGAACAAAGACTTTTGATTTTCTGAATTATTTTTTATTTTTTCTATTTTAATTTTGATTTAGTTTTAAATTAAAAATATTATGTGTCATTGACGTGGCATCTACGTGGCTGCCACATCAACAAAAGTCAATGTTAATGTTGACTTCCGTTTGGTCAGCCGTTATCTACAACGGTCAACGAAATCATCAGGACATAAATGACACACAACTATCATACGTTGTGATACAAATGTCATATCGAATACTTTAGGACACAAATTGCACAAAGTTAATAGTTCGGGTTTCCCAGTGGTATTAACCATTTATACTTTATATTTTGGAAACAACAAAGTATGTCTACTGCTGCCAGAGAAGTACTTCTTAAGTCTGTAGCAGCAACCCTTCCCATTTATATCATGTCCTGTTTCCGGTTACCATAAGAGTTGATTCAACCCGACGACTAAATGCTCACATGGCTCGTTTTTTGTGGGGATCAACTCAGGAACATAGGAGGATTCATTGGCGATCTTGGAAGCTCCTTTGCTCTAGTAAGCAAGCGGGTGAGTTGGGTTTCAGGGAGTTTGGTAAGTTCAACCAAGTTCTTCTTGCTAAGGTAGCTTGGCGGGTTCTTTCGCATCCCACATCTCTTTTGGAGTGATTATAGTATTAAATAGTAACTATTTTAATCCGTTGTATTCAGATAATTTGATTTGATTAATTAGTTTTGTTTGTTTGTTTTAAGTGATTTGGTTTGGTTTTACCCACTCCTAACCAATATATCAGTTAATAAAGTAGTCATTGGTTTAATATTTTATATACACATACTTGATATTTTGCATATGCACTACTCGAGAGTCAAGCATTCCTCCTTTTAAGACCCACTAAAACAATAAAGTTCATTATTGTTTCTATACTACATTTGCTTTTGTAGAGTGTAAACAACAACATATAAGTACCTAATTTAGATAAAAATTAATACATTATGTTGGATGAAAGTCTAAAAGGGAAGGACTTTTTAGCCTCTAATAATTGCTACGAGACTAACACAATTTATACATACACAGGAAAATTAACAACATATGATGTAAAATATTTCTCTAAAAGCTCCATTCAGAAGCTAATTTTGCAAAATTACAAAGGAACCAAACTAACCTTATAATTAAGACCCAATTCAAGTATTTTTTTTTCCACTCGTATTTGGGATATGGGGTTAGTGGAATTTTGTTCCAAGATGGATTCAACAAATTTCGACGCACTTATGAATGATTTATCATAACATGTTTCCTGCTCAATGGTGAAGATATCAATCCTCCATCTTCCTTGAACAAGTTGAAACATCCGACATCCATACCTTAAAATTTTCACCTTTCTATTGTTAATGAAATGAGGTGCCCCTATACATCCATTTTGTGAATCCAACCATCAACATATATAATTTAACAACACAAAAAATTATCAAATATTTCCTGTGAAACAACAAAATATCCATTCTAGCAAATATTCTTATTTTTCCAATCTCTGTCCACAGGCATACAGTATTCACAATCTAAAAAAAGGAAAAACAACAACACAAGACATATAATCCTTCATTTCCCATTTCATTATTCCATAATAATTAAAACAATGTCGATTAATATTCTAGTAAGTAATATATCTTCCATTTTATTTCCAACTGCACAAAAACATCCACTCTCTCGACCCTTTTCTTATCCGCCTCCCACAAACCAACAAACCTCCGGCCATCTTCACGGCCCAAATAAAAAATTATCTTTCAAAAAACGAAAAACATAATCTCCATATATATATATGAACATTGGAAAAAACCCACCTGAACTCTCATTATCTCTCTTAATCACATCATTAGTTCACTAATTAATCCCCTCTCTCTCTCTCTCTCTCACCATGTCTATCACCACATTCCTTAGCCTCATCTTATGTATTATCATCATCATTTCACTTATCACCACAATCTCCTCATCTTCCGACGAAGAACTCTCCTCGTGGTGCAAGGAAACGCCGAACCCGGAATCCTGCACCCGGTTCGTGACCCGAACCGGCCACCCGACCAGCTCCGCGGGGCGGCCCCACCACCAACGACGGGCGGCCACCTTCCGCGAGATGAACATCGAGGCCGCACTCAAAAAGGCCCTCGACGTACAAAGCCAACTCACGCGCTTGAAGTCGACGTGCAGAACTCCACAGGAGACGACCGTGTGGAGCGACTGCACGAAGCTCCACGCCGGCACCGTCCGCCACCTCAACACCACCCTCAGCTGCCTGCGTGGCGGCGGCCGGTGCACGGACTTCGACGCGCAGACGTGGCTGAGCAGCGCGCTGACCAACGTGGCCACGTGTCGGGCCGGGTCGGCCGACCTGAACCTGCCGCCCCGGTTCGTCGACCCGATACTGGCCGGGTCGAGCAACCTGTCGGAGCTGATCACCAACACGCTGGCGGTCAACGGGGCGATGCTGGCGGCGGCGGCGGAGGAGGAGGAGGAGAAGGGGGAAAACGCCAGCTCCGATGACGAGTTCGTTCCCGCCGGGTGGATGAGGAGAGGCGGGAGGAGGCTTCTGGAAGGTTCCATCGCGTCGGTGAACGTGAAGGCGGATGCGGTGGTGGCGAAGGACGGGTCCGGGAAGTTCGCGACGGTTCAGGCGGCGATCGATTTGGCGGGGAGGAGAGGCGATTTCGGGGAGAGGTTTATCATACGGGTGAAGAGAGGGGTTTATGTGGAGAACATTGAGGTCGTCGACGGTAACCGTAACGTTTGGCTCGTCGGGGACGGCCTCGAGGACACCGTCATCACCGGCCACCGCAGCGTCGGGAGTGGGTCCTACACGACGTTCAGTTCCGCCACCGCTGGTAATTATTTGATTTGAGTAATTAGTGACGCGTTTAATACCGTTTTGTTGGAATTTAATATTACTAAGGCAATCAGTTTTAGCCTTTTAGGGTTTTAGGAGTTAAAAAGCTAACTTTTTTATATGGGTGATATAAGTTTATTTTTAACGATTAGATACTCTTTAAACAATTTTAATTTGGAACCTCTAGGTTCAAAGTTAATGACATTGTCTCTGGAGCAAGTCTTTGTTCTCTATACTTGATAGGATTTAATTTGTATATTACCTGAATTTGAGCTTTAATATATCACTTTTATATACTTAGTGGTTTATACTTTATAATACTATTGTTTTGATCATCATTGACTATAACATTGCAATTGAAAGACTTTTTCTTTAGAAATGCCAATTGATGAAAGTTTGAATTAATATGATGAAATCTAGGAGAGAATTTGACAAAGGGAGAACATAGATTTTACCTTCTAATAGTTTATTATCAAAATGTTGGATTACATTAGTGACTTATTATAAAGTTAGGAGTATTTTTAGGGTTATTCCAATTCATGGAGAGAAAAAAATACTCATCAGTTTTCATCCTTAGTTTACTTGGGTACATAATTACAAGTCAAATTCAAACAACCTGTTACCTGCGGAATATCATCAAAATGAAAGTTAAAATTCCCACATTAAGAAAAAGCTCATAATGTAAAATTATATATATATGTTTTTTAACAAAGATTATTCGCAAGGGTGGATTTTCGACTAACACAAACATATGAACTTAATTATTTCCTTTTGTAGCACTAATCAGGGAAATATTTGATTTCATGTCGTATGTATATCTATTATCTAGGTCTTGGCTCTTGTCAATTGCGACGGTGTTTGCAATGCACCTTGTAATGGAAACGAAGCCGACCTTTGGCTCTTTATCGCAATCTAAAAGGAAAAGCCAAGCAAGATTCATTAAAGATGATAAATTGGTGACAATATCAAACCTTAAAATAAGTACATTCCTCAATATTTTTTGTTCACTTGAATTATGATCACTACAACCGTCTTTTAAATGTTCCATAATCCATATTGGCAATATCGTATGAAATGAATGACAAAATCACACTTGTCTTTAACGCAACCGTTTAACATTCAAATGCGTTAGATAGATATCGAGTTACTAGAAAAATTCGGCAATATTTCTTTCCTTTTTTTTTGGTGGAAGCACTATTTATTGTTTAATAGTATAACAAACATTATATGTTACATATAACAACAAATAGATGACAAATATCAACTCACTATTACTTAAAAATGATACCAATAATGAAATTTAAACACTTTGAATTTGCAGGGATTGATGGCGCCCGATTCGTAGCACGTGGAATCACGTTCGCAAACACAGCCGGACCCAAAAAGGGGCAGGCGGTGGCTCTCCGATCCGCCTCCGACCTCGCCGTCTTCTACCAATGCAGCTTCAAAGGCTACCAGGACACTCTCTTCGTCCAAACCCAACGCCAGTTCTTCCGCGAGTGCCACGTGTCCGGCACCGTCGACTTCATCTTCGGCAACGCCGCCGCCGTCTTCCAAAAATGCGTAATCTACGTCCGGAGGCCGGTTCCCGGCCAGACCAACATCATCACCGCGCAAGGCAGGGTCAACGCCTTCGAGCACACCGGGATTTCCATCCACAACTCCAAAATCCTGGCGTCGGCGGAGCTGAAAGCCGCCGGGCCCGGGAAGTTCGAGACCTACTTGGGCCGGCCCTGGATGGAGTATTCGCGGGCCGTCATAATGAAGACTTATTTGCACCGGATTGTAAATCCAGCGGGCTGGTCCAAATGGGGCGGTAAGGACGACTTTGGGCTGAGTACTTTGTACTTCGGCGAGTACAAGAATTTTGGGCCTGGATCTTCGTTGAGATCTAGGGTTAAATGGGAAGGATTTCATGCCATCCACGACGCAGTCACGGCAAAGCATTTTACTGTTCGTGGCCTCTACGCCGGCCGATCATGGTTGTCGTCCACTGGGGTTCCGTTCAATGACGGTCTATAGTGTACATAGCTTCTTCTTTTTCTTCTACGATAATTGACAAATTGTCCAAAGCAAGTTAGTTTCATCTACTTATTACCTAGTTAGAGTTTTTAAATGATTGTTTCCCATGAAAAAGTATACATAAATGGTCAGGTTACATGAGCGGATAAAAATTCGATTTTCAAAATTGTTTGCATAATCAGCTAATTTGGGTTTTGAACTTGCTTACGTGTAACAACATCGATAGGTAACTAGTGTGGAACACCATAAAAAGTTGTCATTAATCAGTTAGATGATTTAGGTAACCATTTAGATTAAGATTGGTAGGTGTCTGGAAGTTTGATGCCGGTATTTGGAATATACTGAATATCGTATCTAATTTATCACTATTTGGATTACCGAATACCGGTTTATTTTATAGGGATTGGAGTTGAAATTCATTTTGGAGTGCTATTCGGTATTCGGGATTACGAAATTGGGCTCGGTATATATCGAAATATCGAGAAATACCAAAAATTAAAAATTAATGATATATAGCGCACATCCTTTGGTCATTACTCACTCTTTCGCAACTTAGAAGGCCCCCATCCAACTCAGTTTGGACTTTCCAGTTTAAGTCACTCTCGTCTCTTATCTAATCTCTTGTTATTTTCATAACAACAAAAATCAAACATTAGTATTGGTCGTCTCTCAACCTCCAATTTGGCAAATTAAAGATTACCAATGACAAGAATTTGAGATGTTACCTCTTCTCCATTCTCCTTATCCATATCCTAGCTCTAAGCAAACTCATGACTCTTTTTTTAGTCTCTTTATCCTAAATTAAACAATCAAATCTAATTTACATGTTTAATTATTAATTGCACAGGTAATTAATTTCGTATTCGATAATACCGATTGGGATACCGAAATATTTTCAGGATTGAGATTGGAATACCGATATATTTAGAGATTGAGATTGGAATACCAATATTATTTAGGGATTGAGATTGATTTTAGGGTGTAATTCAGTATTCGGGATTTCGCTATTTGGTATTGGGATGACACCCTTTAAAATGTGCACTATAAAAAAGAAGTCGGATACTTCCTAGTCTTATATATTATATAGGATATGACTCGTTTTCCACTTAAGCTGCCAATGCTAGTAAGACTTTAATTAGAATCCGATTTTCGGTATCAAAGAGCACGTGGGACTGGTGAGGGAAGGATTGCAGGCTAGACCGTACCGATTTCCACCTTAAGTCATCCGCCATGTTGGAGATACGGAGAGAGCTACCTAATTGACCACATCATGAAATGTCAATATGGTTAATAAACCTAGCTAGTGTTTATTTGTAAATGGTATAAGATTCGTAATTTAAGAAAAATCAATGGGCCGGGCGGTGATAGTATAGTGGAGCAAGGAAGCCAACCTCAACAGTTGAGCGAAAAATGGCGTCCAAGATCCCCAGCTGTTGTATCCGTTTCGGTTGCTCTGTGACCAAATTTCCCAGTCCACACTGCAGTTTGTCCTACTGTTTTCCGTCGAGGAAAAACTGGTGTTTGAACACAATGAATGCACCTTTGACTTCTTGAACAACGATAATTACACGGTCCACTCCTCTCCGAACAATGTTCGAACGAGGGTGTTTGATTGTTTGATGGTTTTTTGGGGACAAGCTACGTTACTCTACTCCTATGGAGGTTCAGTGAGAGCTCCGAAAACTAAAAGTTGTTTGCAGGGAAAAGATAAATTTTGACATAGTGTGTCAAATGATTGGTTGTGGAACCCTTTTCCCGTCTTTGTTTCTCCTATTTATAGTCACTGGGTGTAACTGCCTTGGTAACCGCCGTAGTAACTGCTAGCTGGCCTTTTGCTCCAACCGCCTTAGGGGCCGCTTGTCGCTGCCTTGGTGACTAGTTGGTAGCCGTCGCCTTGGGGGTCTCGTCTCGTCGCCCTATCATAACTGGATGGGGTTGAGGTTCTTTGCTTAGCCTCCCTGATGAAGTCTTGATCGTACCCTCGGCTGCTTGATGACTCCCCACTCTTGTCGTCTTGAGACCGCTACCATCTCATGACACCAATCCTGGGGGCTTGGTCTCCATACTTAGTCTTTGTAGCCTCATCAAATTGATAAGTTACACCCTGCCGGCTTGGTACCCCGTTAGGGTGCTACAAAGTCGGCCTTGGGACTTTGTATCCATATGGCCCCATAAGGGCCATACATGGTTGTTTGGTACCTAGTCGGGTGGCCACCTCAGCTAGCCACCATGCCTTAGTCGAATTTCTTGTCTTGTTGGCTTGATACCCTGATGTATGGCTATCAAGTCCGTCTTGGCCCCCTGTTGCCTGGCCACCAAGTCAGTCTTACCGGCTTGATACCCCCTTGGGGTCATGGTACCCTGTCGCTTTGCTTGGCTGCCAAGCCTGTCTTGCCGACCCCGTTGGCTTCATACTTAGCCAAATTCATGCTTTTCATGTCTTGGTACCAAGCCATGCCTTGCCGACTTGGTACCCTCTTGCTATGGCCATGTAATTCCATACTTAGCCAATTTTCATGTCTTTCGGTGTCAAGCATGCCTTTTCGGCTTGATACCCCTTTGGCTCTATACTTAGCCAAATTCAATGTTTTGGTACCAAGCCCTCCTTGCCGGCATGGTACCCTCTTGCCCCATACTTAGCCGATTTTGTCTCAGCACGGATGGCCTCCTATTTGGTACCCGGTTGTTTGGCACCCCTCGGACGGTGTCATGCTTGACACCCTTGTGGTTGGATCTCCATACTTAGCCAATTTTCACCTCGGCATCATGTTTGACACCCTTGGACGAGACCCCCCTTGGATGAGATCATGCATGACCCCCTTGGATGGTGTCATGCATGACCCCCCTTGTGCTGTGGGTCTCAACACTTAGCCAAATTTTGGCCTTCTTTGCACCACACGGCGAAAGGGTACTCGCGATGACCTCCTTGTGCTGTGGATCTCAACACTTAGCCAAATTTTGGCTCTCTTTACCACCACAGCTAGGGGTACTAGCGATGACCCCCTTGGACGATATCATGCACGACCCCCTTGGGCGAGACCCCCTTGGATGAGGTCATGCATGACCCCCCTTGTGCTGTGGGTCTCAACACTTAGCCAAATTTTGGCCTTCCTTGCACCACACGGCGAAAGGGTACTCGCGATGACCTCCTTGTGCTGTGGATCTCAACACTTAGCCAAATTTTGGCTCTCTTTACCACCACATCTAGGGGTACTAGCGATGACCCCCTTGGACGATATCATGCACGACCCCCTTGGGCGAGACCCCCTTGGACGAGGTCATGCATGACCCCCTTGGACGGACGAGGTCATGCATGACCCCCTTGTGGTTGGGTCTCAATACTTAGTCAAATTTCATACCAAGGGGTGGAGGCATCGTCCGGCTATGGGGTCACGGAGACGGGTCGGCCATCGTATAGAGGAGAAGGGGTTTGGCCACTTAGGCCCAAAAACCCAACCCAACAAGGCTCAGCTATCTCTTTTAATCATTAATGTTGAGCTGGCCTTATAAATCCATTGAATTTCTTGTAGTTAATAGATGTGGTACAAACTGATTTTTTTATGGGTAAACAAATGCCCCCCACAACTTAGTGTATAAGGATTATGCACTAAGTTGTTGAGACCAACTATAACTCTTAAACCCATAGTCAGTTTGGCGTTGATCAACAGATCACCACAACTCTCGTCCATTAACCTCGAAGTTTGCCCAGGTACTTGGCAAACTCTTTTACATCCATTACCTACCCAAACGAGCTTGGTCAAACATAAATAAAATTGTTTCGCTCTTCCTTCACTTGACACACGAGCAAACAATGGTCACAGTGTAAGACCATGCAATAAAAATTGGACATTTTTGGGTGGTGGTCTAGTGTAATGGCCCTAGAAAAGTGGCCAACGAGACCTAGAGAGGAAAGGTCTCAAAGTGCCCACATACAATAGTAGGTGTCCCGCCCTTACTCTCTTTGCGTTGCCGAGCGAGAGATTCTTTTTTTTCATTATTACTTTTGTGCAATCGAAATCCAACTCGAGGTAGTTTCCATCTTAGTGGCGGAATAGGCCATAATACTCCATGATGGCCTCTTAGCCGAGGCTAAGAAAATACATGCTTCTTCTAATCATGGGTACGATTGCAACGCATATGTATTTCTTTTCAGTGCGTTAGTAATAAATTTTATTTTTATTATTGATGAAGTGTGATACCAATCTACTTGGCTTCACCGCCCCCATATCAACGTTATACTTTTATCTCAATATACCCTCCATGTCATGGCTAGCTATTCAAGCCATACTTCCTCATGGGGTGTCATGCCATGCCGTAGGGTGTGGGAGGCTTGGCATGTCGGCCACCAAGGTGGCCTACTAACATTGAACCCCTTGACACCCCACGTCCCAAAGAGAAGGGACGTAGGGCTTGAGATACTTACCATTGATCAATCGATCATGAAACACACCATCTAAATCTTTTAACAAGTAGGCCCCATTGGGCCGGGTGGCATGGACAATGAAGGGTCCACGCCAGTTGGGAGACCATTTGCCAAACTTGGGATCCTTTTCCCCAATCGGCAAGTGTAGTTTCCAGACTAGCTCTCCTTCTTCAAATGACTTGTGCTTAACCCTCTTGTTATAAGAACGAGCTACTTTGTCCTTTTGCACCCTTATGTTATCGAGTGCTTTGAGTTGGAGTTCATCAAGATCACACAATTCCAACATCATAGACTCATAGTACTCTGAGGGTGTCAGCTCATGTTGCCTCATGTACCTCAATGACTTGACTGTTATTTCGAGTGGCAGGAATGCCTCATGGCCATATGTCAAAGAGAAAGGGGTCACCTTTGTACTACTACGTGGTGACATCCGATAAGCCCATAAGGCTTCCGACAAGACTTCATGCCACTTTCTCGGGTTCTCTTCAATCATCTTAGACAATATACCCTTCACCACCTTGTTGGATGCTTCAGCTTGACCATTGGCTTGAGCGTAGTAAGGAGTGGAGTGTATGAT